ACAATAATATATTCTAGCTTTCGACTATGTTTTAGTCATCATCAGGAATGATGCTGGGTTACGTCACGGCGATATTTACAGGACACAGAGGTGAAACTTAACACTTGCCCGCTTGCCCGGGGCAAGTGGACGTCATGACAGGCAAGTGAACGTTTTATCTTGCTTGCCCGATTGGGCAAGTTGCCACAAAAGCTGCGTATCTTTAAAGTGGCACCCGCGTCTAAATTTTGATTTTCCAAAACTTCCCTAAATTTTTATTTTCTTTAAGTTCTGTGATTAAGTTGAGGTTTAAAACACCGAATGGCAAGCGATTCTTTAAAAAGCAATATGGACCAAGGATCAAATCTGTTTATAATCTTAGAGTTACACTGTTGCTATTTTCAGACATAAAATTTGAATCTTTATTAAGTTAAAAATTGCAGCCTGCTCTTAAAATCCCAGTTTGACAAAATTTAAACCAACACTGTATGTATATACCAGACATGTTTCCTCAAACACAGAAATCTTAGAGTTATTAAATATAAATTCTGATATTAGGCCATATAAAATAAATTCCTTGATTCTCATCACCAATTTTGGTTTCCGCGTTGATATATTTTTGTATTTTGTTATAAAATATAAATTTACCGCCCGACCGACCATCTTCAGAGATTTAGTTATTTTTATATTTTATATTGGAATTTTTGCGATATAAAATTGTTTTACCGTTAATATTGCAACATGTTAAGGGATGCTTGGAATACTGAAGGAAAAAATGGGCTTATAGCCTTATTACAACGATTTGTGTGGACCCTTATGCATGTTCATTAGCGCATGTGCAATTATCCACTTATATAGCGTTCTTCTATAATATATTTAAGGGCAAATATAAAAAGACCTCCCTCTCCAATTTTTTAAATTTTAAACTTTTTTTTATATTTTGACATAAAATATAAAATATAAACCTCCTGCCTCCTGGGAGTTTTTAAAATTTAGCGATGACAATCAAGGAATTTATTTTATATGGCCTTATACAAATTGAAGTTGAGTTAGTTTTATCATCAGAATATAGTTCTAAAATAGATTTGATATGTTGAAAATATTTACACGATGTCTAGCACAATATGATTGAAGATTTCAGATTTGTTGTCGAGTGAGTGTTCTTTGATTCTGGTGTAGAAGGAGCAATCTGTATGACCGATACATGTATGTTATACAGGAAAAATGACAATTTCCCTCTCCTGGATGTAAAAGTCAAATTATATATCAGTAAAACAGATCGCTGCTTTTCGAAGGTACACATGTATTTGATCAGTATAGCCAGATAAAAACTTGATTTACTGTAATCCATTTATCCATTGTTACTTAATTCCATTCACATTTGTTTTGTTACAACATTAAAGTATGTATTAATTAAGTTACGGCATTTTTTCATCAATGAAAATCGATAAAAAATCGATAATCAATTGATGAAAGGTCGCAGCAAAACAATCATCAATTATTCATCAATTTCCAATTTTAATCAATTGATATCGATACTCATCAATTATCGATTTAATCGATTAAGTAAGTCAGGACAAAATCCATTGAAAACGAGCAAGATGCTCAAGATCTGATCAGTGGTCCTTATTGTTGTTTAAAGAATCACATACCAAGATCTCATAATATTAACTAACCATTAAATATTAATCTCTTCTATATGTTTGTAAATTACTAAATTGTATATATCAAATTACTTTAATCTCCTCAACTATCCTGATAATGAGTAAAACGTAGTCGAAAACTAGAATATATTAAAAACGGAGTTACGGTTGCTTTGTACATACCTGACTGATCAAGTACAACTACAGGCGCATCGTCGTCTAACATTTTTTATTTTTACAACAAATTTCGAGTGTTAAGCGATTCTAACGTACTGTCCACCTCCAATAACAAGCTGTTGCAACAAGCTATGGAAGCAAAATACTTCTTCCATAATTAACAGTCAAACCGGATATTTTTTGCGAGTAACTTTGCAATGTGCGTCAAATTATATATTAAAGCGTCATCAATTTAATGTGAAAATTGCTCGGATGTGCAATTATCTGTTCGAAGGGCAGATTTATTTTATGATAGGATTGCAGCTCTAGTGCCCGGTAATGTAGCAGCTTGAATAAGATTGTTTTTTATTGGTCAGAGTACTAATTGGGTAGCGAAGGTAGCAGCTTGAATAAGATTGTTTTTTATTGGTCAGAGTACTAATTGGGTAGCGAAGGTAGCAAACCAATAGGAAGCCAGAGACTGTCAACATTTACCTTTGAACTTCCGGTTTATTTGTAAGATGAACAAGCAACTGGCCAAGAAATTGAGCAAAAATATAGCTGAGAATACCCGAGTCTTTGTTTCTAAACTTGAATGTATTAATAAATCGTTCTGTGTATGCAATGTAAGTATCATTTAATAATGAGTAGCGTAAAGATGTAAACGCACTTTTTGCGGCTTATTACAGTAAAAGCAAGTATTGTATTGTTTGTCACGTTGTTAAATTCGCTAAACTTCTGTGTGAATGTGATAGACTACCTGGCGTTCCCTCGAAACGTCGAAGTTTTGTCTATTTATTTTCAGGTAGGCTGTCACATTCACACCAAGATTTACGCAGATGTTTTATCGAAGATTCTACCAGCGGTCAAGCGGCAAGCGTTCGAGATAAATTCGCTAATATTGCATAAAAACACGATGTAGTTATATTATATCTATTTCACTTTATAGAATGTTTATCTACAGCTGCACCCAAGACGAAATACATTAATCCGTGTTCGTGTTGTCAGCAAGTAGTTGGATAGTTTTTTCCACCGGCACATAATTTCGTGAACAAAGACGAGACATAGGCCTATTTTAAAAACGATGTTGACAACATTATGTTGACAACAACATACTGTACAGTATTAATGTTGTCTTTTTATAAATTATAGTTGTACATTTGCCTTTTTATGTCAATTACAGTAAACTTTATTTCAATTTAATATCGTGTGATTTCACCACATACTTGAATCAGGTTGTTTTACATTATATGATTATACTTTGTCAGTTTATATAATTTTTAAACCGAAATCCTCACATGTATGATGTATCCTCCGGACCACACAACTCACAAGTTAAACATGTGTTAATCAGATACACATGACACCATTAGGTAGCCTTATGGAGATACCTAATAGGATATGGAAACACAGCTAGTAGCTATTGCAAAACTAAAAGGTATAAATTGTGATGAACAAAAATAAAATATATATGTTTCTCATAGACATAGGGATGCCAGAGAGAGGGGCAAATCTGCTCTTTTCTAAGGGGGCTGAAGTGCCCTTTTAATGTAACGTGTCAGGCGCTCCTTGCGTTATCAACAATATAGTATTGTAATTGTTAAGCTTAACAACCCAATAAGTCATTGGGTTGTTAACCCTAACCCTAACCTCTAACCCCACCCCCCTAACCCCTAACCCAGGAATAAAGCTGCCGGGATTTACCCACCCGCCGCACCTCCATCCCAAGACAGTTACACTTATAACTAAAACTCTTGTGCAATGCTTGCGGTTTTCTTTCCAGTAACAACCCAATAACTTATTGGGTTGTTAAGCTTAACAATTACAATACTATATTGTTGATAACGTGCGGAACGGGTGAACGTGTGCATATACTAAAACCTCCAAATACAAGAGACTTCAACAGTAAATCTGATTGATTATTTTATGTTGAGACTAATATATTGCTTTAATAAGCATCATGCATGCATGCAACCACAGATGTGCCTCAAAGGGAAATTACAGTAGGCTCCCTTGTCATTTATTAATAGGGTCTCATGTCCTTTGTGTAGAAAAGTTGCAATTAAATGAGCAGAAATTTGAATTACAACAAAGTTTAAAGGCCAAATATGCTTTCAATATAATATGACCAATTGCCCTTACATTTGCCGACTGCCCCTTGCCATTTGCCAACTTCCTTTTGCCATTTGCCGACTTCCTTTTGCCCTACCACTGCTCCAACATCCCATAAATATGAATCAAATATCTAAAGGATTGGTTCAAGGTAATACACCTAACAACTAGTGATGAACCTGAATACGCATATGCACCCACAATTATCATTTTACTGCAGTCTAACACAAAACATCCTTACTTATCAGGAGTAATAATATTAGTTAATGAGTAATAGAACTATCTGCCAGTGTCTTGTTAAAACCATTAATTATTTAATTGCAATTAGACTGGATTCTCATGCTTTAATATTTTACTTGGTCTTACACCAGGCAGTTTTACTCATTCAATAAATAGAGGAGTACTGGATGAGCCTGTTGCATTGGGTACTATATTGCAAGTATATGTAGGAGCTAATTGCTTTAAATATGTGTACAAATATTATACAAACATGTTCTAAATTTCATTAATTAACCCATTAAGCGCCAGCGCTCTCCCCTTGATGAGTAAAATTGCCTGGCGTTAGACAGAGTAAAATACTCTGGCGTTAGACAGAGTAAAATACTAAAGTAAGGTGCATCAGGGTGCAATGCAACTCAATGGGTTAAAGACTAATAAGTATCCAGAATACCACATACAAAATAGTATCTTATCTTGTTTATCTATATATAGACACATTTATAGCTAACATAAAAATCTTACTGTAATAAAAAAAATTATATCTTTCGTATTTAAATATATAGTGGTCATCAAGCTATCAAAAATAGATTTTACATGTTCAAATAAAACCCTAAGCAACTGTGATAGGAATATGTCAGATATTAGGCAAGGCCAGTGAGAGGGCAAGGAAAGAGCAAATACCCTGGGAACAAGGTTGGCGAGAGGGGGGCAGGGGGACCCATTCTCGTCCACAGAGCCATTTTCCTTCGGTCACTCGTTGAAAAATTAACAGCAATGAAACAGGTGTGTGTTGCAGGTAAAGTTAGATATTAGGACAATCTGTTTAATCTAGCCCATGATGTTTTACCCCATGATGTTTTACCCTGGTGAATATGATTCAACCATATGCAATTTAAAATATATATTATGTGTTTACTACTTTGCAATGCAACATTTGTCCTCATACCATAATCCTAACCCATGGACTGTTAGTCTCCTATGCAGACCTACTTTAGCGGGTTTGGGCCCGCCGCTAATTAAGTAGGTATGCGTAGGAGACTAATGGCCTGTCTTCATACAGCGAAATGATTTGAACACAGGGTTTTTTTACGCCTTGTCTGGGGGGTGGGCATCTACAAAAAAGGACCATACTATACTGAGTGTGGAGAGATGACAGATGGTTGTTGGTGACCAAAAGTTTGGTGTGGTATCTTATGTACAAGTAGGGGGGTCTGGGGGTATTCTCCCCCAGAAACTTTTTTTGTATTTTTCCACCCATAGGACTGAAATGTGAGCATTTTCTGAAACAGATTTTTGGATATACAGAGTTACATTCTGCTTTGATAGACCGAATCTAATCAGTTAAGTACTTCTTGCATGGTATGTTTATGTAAACACCACAACTGGATCACTCAGGGGGTAGGAAGCTTGTTAATTAAACTTAGTGGGCCCGGCTCCCACGAGGCGCTACCATAATTGGCGCCGAGCAGGGAAATGTTGAAAATTTTGAGTCTTTAGATTGTTGGAAATGGCATATTCAGAGTCTTCTTTACCTCTTTGGCATTATTATTTGTGAGTCTATGCTATTTGTGAGTCTATGCTATTTGTGAGTCTATGCTATTTGTGAGTCTATGCTATTTATAGAAATCAGAACTCTAGACATGGTATTTAAGTTCAAAAACTTTTTTTGCCCCCCCCCCCTTTCTCTAGGTTAAAACGTTTTTGACCCCCCGTATTTATAAGCGTAAAAATTTGTTTGTAACAACCTGTGCGTTTTTAGCCGTGTATGTATTCCTCAGTGAACTGTTCAGTAAAATTACGTCAAGGAACAACTCCCTTCTTCAACTCTGGTGTTCGTGTTAAATAAGGCTGTAATCTTCTTCCTACTGTTTTCAACATGTTTGTAAATGATATACCTGATTTTTTTTAAAATTAACCAGGCATGTGATCCAGTAAAACTTGGTAATACAGATTTGAACAGTTTACTTTATGCGGACGATTTAGTCCTGTTGTCCAAATCGCAAACAGGTTTACAAGAGTGTCTATCAAAACTTGAAATATATACAAAGAAATGGAAGCTCAAAATTAATAGGAGAAAATGCAAAGTTTTACTTTTTGGAACGCCGACCAAAGGCGTGCATATTTAACGTCAGCTTGGTTATACGAAGAAAATCCCCTATAGAACAGGTGGAGCTAGTATTGTTACCTTGGAATTACTCCTCACTTTTTCGGAAATTTCAAACGGGTGATACTGCTGATC